AGAAAGTTATACATCAGGGACTGAGATTCACAGAGGATTTCCTCTTCCATGACAGCAGGACAGCTGTAAAAATTGAAGTCTTGGTGATAGTTTATGGTAGCAAAAAGCTCTGCATTACTGAAGGTACAGATAAGGGTGGGAAGCCAAACCTTGCCAGAAGGACCGGCCTGGAGCTCATCTGTGCCATAGCTGCTGAACTGAGGAGACCTGGCCAGTCTTTGATTTACTCATATGTGCCATGAAAATTTTCCTGAGAAGCTTAACATTTGCTTTCTTCGTTGACTAAGTGAAAAGATCTGTGAGGCTTAGGACCTTAATCCGTCCTTTAGTTTTGAAAAGGTATGTACCTGGGGCCAGAAAGCTGAAGGGGACCGGCTCCAGCAGATATCCTTGTAGAAGCTCCTTGGCACCCTCCTCCTGTGTTTGGGATCTGATGCCATTGAAGATGTCTGGAGAGTCTTAGCATATGATTATCTTTTGTTTTCTTTTAGGAAGCAGAATGATACAGGAGCTTTTCAGGTTCCTAAGAAAAGCTGTTTTTAAGTGTATATTTGCACCTGACAGTAGAATTGCTGTCCATTATTTCTTTTCAGTCCTGCTGCACAGAATATTGTTTTCCATCCTGTTATGGTTTGTGTCTGGATGTCCCCGCAAAGCCTCATGCAGTCATGGGGTGGGCTTCTAGAGTTTATGATTGATTCATGGTCCAGCGTTGGAATTATGGATGTGAGTGCTACACACGCCCTGGGGTGGGTGGTTTGCACACAGTGTAAGGGAAGGAAAGAAGCTACTTGTCTCCGCGGCTCCTCCCTTTTGCTCTTGTTGCTTTTGCTATGTTCCTCCAGCAGGAACATTTGCCCTCTGCCATGTGCCACTCTGCCTTGGAGCCAGCCAAGTATGGACAGAAACCTCCACAAACTGTGAGCTAAATGAACCTTTCCTTCCTTAATCCCGGGCACTGGGTATTTTGTCTCAGCAATGAAAGAAAAGTAACCAAGACACATCCTTTGATTTTTAGTCTATGAATTTCTTTTTGGATTAGATGAGTCTCTTGAATGCAATAAACCATTGGGTTCTGTCTCTTTTTCTTCATCTTCCAATCTCTGTCTTTTAACTGGGGAGCTGAAGACATTGACATTGAGTGTAACTACTGAAATTCCTGTCATTGAATTCTCTTTCTGTGTTTACTCCTTTATTTTTCCCATTTTGTTTAACTGGCCACTTTGCTTTTTGTATTCATTCCATCTAATCCACTGGCTTTGTTGCTATTGTTGTCTCTGTCTAAGATACTCTGGAGTATGTTTTGGGATGTTGGTTTGGTGTTCATGTGTCTATTAAGGTGTTCTTTGTGCTTATTTCTTCATCAGTTCTGAAAAATGGTTCTGCAGGATATATTACTCTGTGTTGGAAGTTTTTCAGTGCTTGAAACCTTTCACTACAAGCTCTATTGGCCTTTGCAGTTTTCCCGAATAGTCTTCTGGAATCCTAATGGCTTTACCTTTATAAATGATTTTTTTGCTTTTCACTGACAGCTTTTAAGATTCTGTCTTTCTGTTGGACATCTGGGATTTTGACTATGAAGTGTCCTGAGGAGCTCCTTTCATCACTTATTTGGAAAACCTGAAAAATTAAAGATAATAACCAAACAATATCAATAAAGAAACAAGAATCAGAAGAACACGAAAAAATTAAAACAGAAAAAAAGCAACCAAGGTGACCCATTTCCAACAAAGAAGTAAGAGCACACAACTGCACCCAAAATAAAAAGAGCAGCGAGACTCAAAGCCTCCGCTCACGGTCGCAGCGTCAGCCCAGAGCTGCCCCACAGCTCGCTCCACGCTGGCATCGCAGTCCGCTTGTGAGGGCCAAGCGGTGTCCCCGTGGGCCGGACAGCTGCCTGTCTGAACCCCCGAGGGCTTCTGCTTCCCCAGACACACATCCTGGTTGCAGGTTGTGCTCCACAGGCTTCTGTGCATCTGCCTGCCTTCACCGACTTAGAGGTGTGGACATTACGTTGTCTCTGTGTCTTCCCTCTCAGCTGTCCTTGCCTCACAGATGCCAAAGAGCCACGGGCCCCAGCACTGCTCACTGCCTCTCTGCCCCCAGCTGTCACCTGCCCGGGCTGGCCTATAGCACGTGCACCTCCCCCAGGCCCGCAGAGGCCCCTTTGCCAGTACACAGTTGCAGGCTGGCCTCACGGTGTCCCCGGCCTGGCCAGCTTTTGAAGAAAGAGTGGGACGACATCCACAGTGTTCTGGATCTGCCAAGTTGCTGTCTCCCTTCACAGATCTCCCCTGCTGTGTACATGTCACTCCGCACTGCATATTTCTCATAGAGTCAGTATTTTTAATGAAAAAAAAACAAATTTTCGTAAATAAAATAAGAGGACAACAATGATTACACTGTGTATCATTATCTTCAAAGTATGTACAAGACCTAAACCAAAAAGATTCTTACAAAAAACAAAAAACAAAGAATGACCTAAACTTTCTTTTCAACAAGCTAAGATTGACTATTAATATAAATGAAACAAATTAACATATGTATTGAAATGTTTTTTAAACAATGGAATTTGGGGAAGTATTTGAGCCACTCCCTACTTCCTATTCATCTCTCTTCTGTTTTGCTGCCTTCAGTTTTCCCTGTCCTCTGCAGTCCCCAGCTGGCGGGGACGGGGGCCCTCCGTGGAAGCCGCATGCAGTCATGGGAAGGGTGCTGAATATCCTGTGTGCAGTGCTCCTGTTGTATGTGGGAGAAGTGAGTGACTTTTCTTTTCTGTGTCAAGTAAGCTGGTCTCTCTTGAGTCCAGCCACCTCCCAGCTGTGATGCAGTATTTTTTTAGAAGATGTGGATTAATCCCACTGGTCACCTGCCCTGGAGCACTGTCCTTTACAGCACATGGATACATGGGTACATGGCGGTCTGTTCTGCTCTGTTCTGGTTTCAGGGCCACTGCATCCCTAGATGGAATATGTTTCACATCACCAGGCCCCTGTGGGGGCCTTAGAGTAATTGTGGATCTATTCAGTGAGTGAGGCCAGCCCAGAAAGGCCAGCTTCCTCCCTCAGTCTGATGCTCCCCCAAGATGGCGTGTAGGGCAGTTTGGGGGGCGGCAGGGTACCGTGATCCAGGAGTGGCCCGTTTCCCTTCACACACACTCTAAACACTGGATTTTAGTCCAGCTGGATTTTCCTTTCATTTCTCCTCCCATATCAGACTTCATCTTTCCCTCTCACCTCAGGGTATCTGCTTTTCCCCAGCACCAATTCAGAGGCACTCACCCTTGCTTTCACCTCCTAGGCGGTCATTCTCTCTTCTCAAATTTTTTTTTAAAGCACTCTTGGCAACAAAATAGAAAGAAAATTAAGTTGTACTGTTAAATGTCAACGTCAGCAAGAGTGAGAAAACAGAAACAGGTAAGTCTGGTACAAGAGAACTGGAAACATGGTTATGCAGCAGCTGCAAATGCCATCACGACCCCTTGTTTGAGGGATGACCAGTTTACCGCTTTGCTATACAGAGTCATTAATGGGGATTCTGACTTCACACACTACCTCCGTCTCAAGAGAACACACAACACCAGGAAAGTTGTAAGAAAGTCTGGATAAAACACATCCAGAACTGATTTCGGCTTCCCTGAGAGGCCTCCATGGTCCATCGGTGGGAACTCAGACCTCTTCAAAGACCTTCACAGAAAGCATTTCATGGTTCCTGCAATCCTCCACAACTGCATAAGGTAGATGTATGATATTTTCAGACCAGAAGCTTATTCTAGAGGTCTTTGTCTGATTAAGCACTAATAGTTGAGGTCCTCTAGTGAAGTAGTATGCCATGTGATTTCATGTTAAAGTCTAGGAAAACCCTCCAAAAGTGTGTACATAGTGAAATCACAGAATCACCTGGGCATTCTAAAAGACAATTCTAGAATACAGAGATTTATGAATCAAAGATATAGGAATTTTTTGGTGAAATAGGAAGAAACAGCTCAAAAGAAAGGGGAACTGAGGGGAGAGGAGAGAGTAAAGAAAGAAGGGGGAAAAAAAACAACAGAAGGATAAAATGGGGGAAAGTTGTGTAATTAAGGAAGGTGTGGGGGTTGAAGGCAGGGGAGGGGGTTGGAAGAAAAGAGGAATCAAGATATATAAGGTACAGATTCCCTATGATGAATATGATCGTTATGTATATCTAAATTGTACCAGTAAATTTACACAGGGTGTGGTGGCACAGGCCTGGAATCCCAGCACTCAGGAGGCTGAGGCAGGGGGACCATTGAGAATTTGAGGCCTGGGCTACAAAGTGAGCTCAAGACCAACCTGAACTGCATAGTGAGACCTTGTTTCAAAAAGATAGATGAAGAAATAAATAAATAATAAAAATTTTAAAATAAACTTAATTTTTAAAAAAAGATATGGCAACAGAGCACAAACTAGGGATTGTTATGCTAATCAAAACAGAGTTATACTTTGAAAAAGAGGCATTGGACAAGAAAAATGTCTTTAAATTTGAGAGTTGTTGAAATTGATACAACAAATAGAAGTAGCTACATGTTGGATTTACAAGAGGTAAAGGGCTTAAGGATTAGCCCCATGTTTTGGAATTGGCTGATGGCAATATGACAGAATAAAGTAAAAAAAAAAAAAAAAAAAAAAAAAAAGAGAAGAAGAAGAAGAAGGCAGGAGAGAAACATTCCAGCTGGAAGAGATTTTTGGTTTAACTCAGCACACAACAATAAAAATATAAGGGATTGTAAAGATTTGAAGACTGTTTAGTTTTGCTTATATGGGTTTCACAAAAATAGTATACTTTATGACTTTAAATATTTGTATCTTCTCCCACAGATGGCATGTAAAGTTATAGAATGTCTCCAAAAAAGTTCCAGGGAAAGAAACAACAGTCTGGACAAAAGTCTGCTCTTTTTCTTTACTGCATGTATCAGGACTGTCCTTTCTATACCAGAAATATGCTATGTTATGAAATATATTTTGCAGCTACATAACACTGTTACTGATTCTTTCTTCAAATAGTACTTGGAAAACCCACACTTTTTCCCCCAAGAAGTTAGAAATGGTATTGAACATGATCAAAATAACAATATTCATCCTTCTAACTGGACTGGGTATGGTGGGGAATATATTTGTTTTTGTAAATTATATGTGCGTGTCCTGTATGGATCCTGGAAAGAAACCTATACGTCTTATTCTCATCCATTTGACTATTACAAATGTCATAATGCTTTTTTCCAAAGGAATGCCAAAGACGGTAGCAGAATTTGGCTTGGAAAACTTCCTCAATGACACAGGCTGTAAGATTGTTGCTTGTCTGGAGCGAGTGGCCCGGGGCCTCTCCATCTGCACCAGCAGTCTCCTCACCGTGGTCCAGGCCATCACCCTGAGTCCCAGACACTCCAGGTGGAGGAGGCTTAAGCTAAAGAATCCATGGCACATTCTTCTCTTCTTTCTCTTCTTTTGGATACTCAACCTCTTGATAAGCATAAACTTGATCCGTTCTATCCTGAGTAGAAGCAAGAACACATCACAAAGTAGTAAAAGTGACAAGTATTGTTACTTTCTACTAAAAATTCGGGGGGAAAACTGGCTTTTTCTCATTTTCATGGCTCTGAGAGATACCATGTTTCTGGTTGTCATGGGCGGGGCCAGTGTCTACATGGTGCTGCTTCTGCACACACACCACCAGCGTGTTCTCCACCTGCAGAACAAGTTCCTCCGTAAAGCTCCTCCCGAGATCAGAGCTGCTCAGAGTGTTCTCCTTCTGATGCTGAGTTTTCTTTTCTTTTACTGGACAGATTGTGCCATTTCTTTATATGTAACTCTCTCCTTAGAGAAAGATTTCCTAGCAGTGAGTGTACGAGAATTTCTGACCCTTGGTTATACAATTGTCAGCCCATTTGTGCTGATTCACAGAGATGGACACCTGGCTGAATACTGGCATGCTTAGTAGTGATTGGAGAAAAATGCCTAAATCTTTTATCTCTTCAGTAAGGAAGTTTGAAATATCTATTGGCTTTGCTAAGCCTTATATTTAAAAAAATCATTAAGATTTTATCATACAACATACCTACTGTCCAGACAGGCCTTACCTAATACAGAGATCACCAGAAGGGAGAGGCACCCAGCTGTCTTTTCATTTTCTATCTTGCCAACCTTGAAAACATAGTGTAAATTTTACCTACATACAATGATTCTTTAGCCACCAAGCTTCCAGTAGTGAGGAGCAAAACAGTTTGGAAAAATAACTCGAACGTTCACCTTTTGTGTCAGAAATCCCACTGTGAGGACTGAATCTGTCAGCTATCCATGCTCATTTAAGAACTACAATAACAAAGGCAGTATATCTTATTATAGGAACACAGCCTAACTATCCAGCAGAAAGTGCTATTTTGTGAGCTACATGAAAATACTGAGGCGCTGGGGTGTACCTGGGGTGGAAGAGCACCTGCCTACCACGCGTGAGGCCCTTGTTCCATACCCAGCACCAAAAGGAAAAAGAAAACAATCATAAGTATCATCCATACAACAAGTACTTAAAATTTTGGTATTTATGAAAAATGGGTAAGTTCAAAATGTATTGATATGAAATAATACTTGAGTATTTCTGATGAATATATGAAAAGCAATGTGAAGATAATAGAGTTCAAAATGGAATATAATTAAATGTTTACCTTCATCATCAACTTCTGCAAGAATAAAAAAGAAATTTTAAGAGTTGTTACCTGTTTTGAGAGAAACTAAGCAAATGGAGTTTTAGTGAGTAGAAGCCTTTCAATATTTTCTGATTTTTGAAACATGTGAATGCATTGTTTTCATTAATTGAGAAAACAATCTATATTTTTTGTTTTTTTAAAGAGAATAAAAAAATAAAAACTATACAGAATTTCAAAACAAGATGATAGGAAATTAACAGTGGTTGTTATATTGCATATTGTTATCTAGAGATTATTTATTAGTGTCTCGGCACTCTCCCACAATGTTAACAACTATTTTTTCTCTTATTAGAGTTATGAAAATAATCTAGTCCCATGATGGAAACCACTACAAAGTGGCTCTGAGCAGGATTTACATTAACCAATTGGCTTTTCATGTTTCCTTTTGTCTACCCAAGACCTCGGCCCCTTGCCTGGAGATGGCACCCTGTAGTGGCAGTTGAATCCTTAGCACCTCGGATGACAAGACGTGCCCATGGCTAAGGACACCTGGCTCCAACTTCAGTTAGTTTGATAAAGACTAACTACAGGCATCTCACTCCTTCAGTGAAGGCCTTCCTGGAGATAACATAGTTCTTCTAAATTAACATAATGTATTACTTGAAGAAGTCCTTAAGAGTGCTCCCAACTCCCACTCAGATTCCTGCATTTTCTTCAGTATTCCCCTCCTTTGTTTGATAACGTAATAACTATGGGCTGCCTAGAGAACTTCTTTGTCTTAAACCCCAGAAAGTCTTGAATTCTGTGAGAGGGTTTTTGATACTCCTAGAGCCCTGAAATAATTTCATTTGTCTCATTTATTTAAACCTTTGCCATCCACTCATTTGAGAGATTGGAGGCCACACGCCTGCAATAACAAGGGGATAATCTTAACGCAATAATTCTGCATTATTTAAAGAATTTGGCTTTAACTTTTTTAACTGAACAGAACCAAAGAACATGTTTGGCAAAAATATATGTATAGTTCTGTCAGTAAGGTAATTGATCAAGCCATTTTGCAAAGCACTTCATGTTCTTTTTCTTATTACATACGTGTGAAGATTAATCCGGTCAAGCTAACTGCCTTGGCAATCACCAAGGACATTAGTAAAATACATTTCTGGGTATATCTGGGTGGGACATGGAGGCCTAACGGTGGGTACCAAACATCTTTGCTCCAACATGATGTGCCTACCTTGGAGCAGCCAGTCGTGGACTGAATTCCCTGAAATTTCTTATCCTTTAGTTTGTGGGTACAGATATTGTTTCTCTGTGACAGGATAGCTTACTAATCCAATACATTTATGGTACAAAATCTTAGAACTGTTAGAGACAGACTTCTACCTCTTTCTTAAGAATCCTCCCACCACATTTCTGTTAAAGTTTTTGTAAATATTTGGGCTTTTGCTCCTCTCTTAAATAATAATTACGCACTTGCTTCTATTGGGATTGGTTGTATTGTTCACACAGCTTTTTGGGGGCAGTGGAGGGGTGGGTAAGACTGAGTCTCACTATGTAGCCCAGGCTGGCCTCCAACCTGCTGGGGTCCTCCTGTCTCCCACAGAGCTTCTGGAGTTATTTATGCTATGTTATATCACAAGTGTGTTGGAGCATCTCTTTCTCATAACCGTGGCTTAGTTGAAGGCACGGGGTGTATTGTGTCCTAGCTTCACATCATCCCTGTGACAACCCGTTCCCAGTATAGAGCGCAAAGAACAAGACAAAGTGAACATTCCCAGATAGATACCAAAATGGATTATAGTAACTGACTCACAAGAATGGACGTAAGGGTTTTCCATAAAATAAAGAGCAGCACTAAAAAATTTAACCACAAAGAAGAGACCTTGAGCCTCAAGAATAGGAAACATCTGGACAAGTAAGGATATGGTCAGTAATTAGTAGCTGAAAACCATTAAGCATGCTCTGGAATTTGGGTTTCCCAGATAAGTGCGATTCTGAGCTTCCCTCTGAAAAGTAAGAAGTGAGTTGAGAAAATGTATGTTCAATCTAGAATCTTAAGCAGAAAATAATTACAAGTAGAAAAGTATATGATTAAAACTACTACAGATCTCAGAGGAGTGGGACACAAGGAGGAGAAACTGGAAAACTCCATTTTGCAAAACACTGATGTGGTTAAGCAACCACAACTACGTTTCATTTCTCATGGATGTATAGATTTGTAAACAATACAGTCAAAATAGTAAGATGTATTCTGCATCATTTTTTGTTAACTCTTACTTAAATTTCAAGACATAGTGGCTGAAATCTTCCCAAATCTGGCAAAAGACACAAACCTAAGAGCATAAATTTTACATGCCCTTACCATAGAAAAAATGAAAAGCAATTGAGGTAATGCATACATGAATTTGATGCAGTTTGATGTAGCCATATATATGTATACACATTTCACAACAGTGTATTCATGGTAAATATGTACATATTTGTCAATGTAAAATAAAATAAATACAATAAAAAAGAAAATTAAAGGCAACTTGTGGATTAAGAGAACAGTATTTGCAAATCATATATCTTTTAAAAGGTTAATAACCAAAATACATAAGAAACTCAATAGCATATAATTAAATAGCCTGATTAAAAATTAGGCAAAAGATCTGAATGGACGTTTCTCAAAAGAAGACATGACATGGTCAACAGATAAATGAAAAATGTTGAATATCACTAATCACTCAGAAAATTAAAAAGCCACAGTGAGACATTGCACATCCCTTAGAATGTCTATGATATCATCAAAAAGATGTGTGAGAAATACCCACGAGCTGCTGGGGATATGAACAGAACCCTTGGGGCTGGGGATTTAGCTCAGTGGCAAAAGTGCCTGCCTGGCAAGCGCAAGGTCGTGAGTTCAGTTCCCGGTACTGGAGAAAAAAAAAAAAAAACAAAGAACAGAACCCTCTCACATGGGGAGTGGGAATGTAAATACAGCTATTATGAAACACAGTGTGAAAGTTACTCAGAATTTTTAAAATACAACTACTATGTGATCCAGAAATCCCATGCTGGATATCTATCCATGGGAAATGAAATCAGTAGTTCAAAGGTATCAATACTACCGGGTTCATAGTAGCACAGGTCAAAATAGTACGATATGGAGGAAATGGAGAGACACCCGTTTAAGGGTATAAAGTTGTAGCTATGTAAGATGATGAAGTCTACAGACCTAATGTGAAATACGAAGATAGTAATTATAATACTGTACTGTATGCTGAAAATTTGCTGAGTATATTTTAGTTGCTTTTAGAACACATTAAAAAAAGAAAAACTACATGAGATGAATGTTAAATTGCCTGACTGTAGTACCCATTCCACTACATATATTAAACATATGTAATAAAAAAATTCAATTAGAAATATTAGATGTCTTCCTCAAAGTTTTAAAGTCATCATATTACAGTGATACTTGTGCACCTATGTTTATAGAGCACAATTCCTAAAAGTTAAATCCTGGAAGTAGCATATATGTTCATGAACAGATAAATGGATAAAGAAAATGTGATATTTACATACAATGGAATAAACTTGAATGATTTGTAGGAAAATGGATGCATCTTGAGACCATAATGTTAAGTGAAATAAGTCAGACACACAAGCTTAAATTTTGCATAGTTTCTCTCATTTGAAAAACCCAAAGTATAAATAAAAGATAGATAACAGGAAGTAGGGAGATAGATCTTGCCTAAATGGGAAGGGGATCGAAAGAGGGAGAAGAGAGGAAAGGAAGAGAAAGAGGGTGGAAGAACGAATGAAGATGTGTTATGTACATGTGCCAGTTCCACAAGGAAGGTAAACATGATGTCCTGCAAACATGTACTAACACATAAGAAATATCAGGTACCCTAAAATAAAAAGGGTTGCACCCCCAAAATAGATCATTACTGTATCTGCTTCATAACTGAAATCTTTATATTCTGTTAAAACTTAACACAGAATCCTTCAGTCTTTTGACACTGTTAAAAATAGTCTCTATGAGTCCACCCAACATCAGCAGCAGTCTCTCATTTCTCTATAGATGATCATTTCTGCTTGCTGAACTCTCACAAGGTTCTCTTGTGAATATGCAGGTAACACAGGGCTGAGCAGAGGGGATTTGCGAAGTGTGCAACCTCGAGACCATTCTGTTGTCCCCGAATTAGTAAACTAATCTCCTCAGTTGATTTCCGGATGAACAGAAAAACTCCAGGTTGTTTATCAAAGGTCTCATTCTTTGCCAAGCCTTTGGGTTTAAGCTGAATACTTC